AAAGGTTAAATATATAGAAATAATAAACTTAGTGGGTACAAGTTTCAATTAGAGGAAAATTTTTTAAAGATTTTTGTATTACATTCTCTAAACGATTTAGAAGTTCTTAAATCAGTAATTTCTCTAAATTTAAAAATTGAAAATTAAAAAAAAAAATAGAAGGCCAATGTTATTTAAACAAACCTCTAATCCAAAGTGGACTAGTGCTGATGTAGATTGCAGGATTCAACACATGGAAAATCTAGAGGGTCCCCCTATCTCTGATGGAAGGCCTAGATTGACCACAAAATTCCTGCACAAGGCTAAGATGATATCATGCGGGTATGTGTGTATCGATGCAAAATTGTAATAAAGTCTCAGTTTGGTAGGAGAATAAATACAAATATGCACTGTACAAATACATATAAAATAATACAAAATACAAGGTTTCGCACTCTACATATTTGTATTTGTACTCTAGAAGGAGTACAAATACAAATATGTAGARTGCAAAGCCTTATATTTTGTATTATTTTGTATGTATTCATACAAATTTGCATTTTGTATCTTATAAGGAATACAAATACAAATATGTAGAGTGCAAAACCTTGTATTTTATATTATTTTATATGTATTTGCATTGTACATATTTACATTTGTACTCCTTCCAAACTGAGTAAAATGTGTAGATGCATCTGGGCAAACGTTCCACTATACAGAAGTTCTTTACTGAATCTTTGAATGTCAAAATTGAATTATGTACACAAACTAACTCTGTACCATGTTTTTTGTGGTACACTGAATTGATAGCTATATATACAACCAGTCTGGATTGTCCATCAACCATCATAGAGACCCTCCAGATTGGTGGCTACATGTGCGTCTGTCTCCATTAATCATGTGTATCCACATCACACATTAACTGTTAAAGTTTTAAAATTTTTAATAGAAGATTCCCAAAAAGATGTCTTTGTTTTTTCCTCATGGTGGGGAGCTATATTCAGCAGAAATCAGAAATCACCACCATTAGTTATCAGTGATGCAGCAAACACATGGAGCCCTTTTTGGTTGTATCCCTATTCTATTCATCATATGAGATAGATTCTTCGACCGCCGTAGATGTTTCGCCGTCATCATCATCATTGTTGTTGTTATTATTATTGACAAAAAGACATCGATTATTAAATAGAGGACCAATATTTGAAAAACAAAATAGATCCAAGATGATTATTCTACTAGTTCTGACAGCCCCTCCCCCCCCCAAAAAAAAAAAAAAAAAAGCTATGAGACATAATTTGTTGCAATAATGCTTTGTTGAGTTGAATCTATGAGACATAATTTGCCAAACCCACCACTAAACTTGATCCCATTCAAGAGAAATATGCCTGCACCAAAATCCAGCAAACGGTAAGGCAATATACCATTATGCTGCATCAATTATTCTAATCATGATTTTCAAAATCGGACCAGATCGGATGGTCGGACTGGAAAAATCGGGAACCGGTCACCGATTGCGGTTTCTCCCAAAATCGTTGATTTTGGTCAATAAACCGTTGAACCGGCTAGTTAACCATTCGAACGGTTTTGACTATTTTTCAATTTTTTTTTTGTCAGAACGGGTCAGCCATTCGGTTTAAAAGATTGGACCGTTCGAACCAATAACCAGACCTCTGATCGGTTCAATCACCAATTCGTTTTTAAAAACCATAATTCTAATTGGGAGTTTAAATTTGCACCCCGCAACGTCCCACAGCATATTCCCACCATGTTTTGAAAACATCTTTCGATGATAGTATCAGAAATGATGATGTCATCATAAGGAAATGTTCCCAATACACAGCGGGGATGTGCTGAGGGACATTGTGGGGCGCAGATGTGAACTCTTCTATTGGTGGGTGAGGTTGATTGCTTCTGTTTTTCACCGTCTGCTCAATTGATGATGAATCCAGTGAAAAAGACAATTGCAACCACTGTTCTTCTGCTTTTGGGCTTAACTAGTTAAATGGATGTATTGGCTACTTATACTTAACCCATGAGCATAAGACGCGTGGCAAGTTCTGAGGGTCCCAGACTACATATCACGGACCTCCAACCAAAGCCCAAGAAACTGCCATTTAATTAATAGTACGGTAAGGTCTAAGGTGGTAGTTTCAGATTTTCAGATTCACTCAATAATCACTTATCCTCTCGTCAATAGAGTAAGTAGGAGAAGGTTGGGTTGGGTCTGTGTGGGGAGGTGCCTCCGGCGGGCTCCAGTGGTGCTTTTTGTCGGGGGAAAATTCTGTGACGACTTGCTTCAGCGTGTACATAACAGAACCACACGTACGTTGTTAAAGTATTGGGCCACAGTGTTGGTGGGCTATGACTATGACTTGCCTTAATCAGAACTATGCAAGGGCTATAACCTATAAGCATTGTCCGCTAATGACTAATCAAAGGGGCTGTGGGCTGTGGGCTGTGGACTGTGGGCTGTGGGGGTCAGATTGAACGGTCCAAATTGATCGAAACTTGTGCCACCCACACAAGTACGAGGACATGTCCTCATGACAGGTCACACCGTGTTGGGCCAATGCCCAATCGAATCACCAATGGCAGGACACTACTGGTGTGTGTTCATGTTCTAGTGCTAGCCAGTGCTATCATAATTACCATACATTTGCAATCCAAAGTTCCAAACCTTTGGCTGAGTCGAAAAGGACGCCATCCTGGTCTGACCATGGTTTAGTGGTTTCAACTTTCAAGGCCAATGGTGTAGATCAGAGTTCTGTGTAGGACCAGGGCTGGGCTGGGTGGCATCATTTGGCCTATACCAAAACCAACCTAAATCATCTTGAGCCTAGAGGTTCAGTTCTACCAGGAATCATGCTTTGCCTATTTCTTAACTCCAATAATGCACAAGAGTGACAAAGCTTCATCATTTCTTTTCATATGAATCTAATCTCTCTCTCTCTCTCTCTCAGAGACACCCACCATGGGACATGGGCTAGTTAGCTCTAAATATTCCTGATAAGTAAGACAAACAAGCAAACATTAGTCAATGTCGAATTATCAATCCAGTGATAGAGAGAATTGAATGAACAAAGATCATGTCATCCATGACAAAAGCTGCTAACCATTAGGGCTCTTCTTTCACGTATGTTCTTAAATGGAATAATTATTTAGGTAGCTCTGATTAGAAAGAAGTCTTCTAGGCATTGGACAATATATGCTCGCCAATTGCCATGCCCAATTTATGCCTTCAATCTATAACTTTAGTTGTCATTGTGAAAACCCTTTAAACAAATGAAGGCAAACATATCAAACAAAGAGAATTACGTACAAGTCAAACCCTGTAATCACTCTTTTTTTTTTTTTTGAAAAGCTGTAATACAAATACAAATATGTATTTGGAAGGAGTACAAATACAAATATGTACAGTACAAATACATACAAAATAATACAAAATGTAAGGTTTTGCACCGTACATATTTGTATTTATACTCCTTCCAAACTGAGCCAAAAACACTAAAGTCAAGGACAATAATTGAATAGGTTTAGAAATATTTAACTTAATTAATACAGACATATATATATACATAGAGAGAGAGATGTAGGCACGTACTTGTGTAGGTACATATATGTATGCAAGCATATGGAATTAGTGGAATTTCCAGACCCACGTGGTCACGGGTTCAGTTCCTGATTCACACCAAAAGTTGGCAATTATAATTTTTTTTGGGGGTCTTGTAGCTAATAAATCTACCTCCACCTTTCAGGTTTAACCGCTATCAAGTCTGGGTTCAGATTTTCCCACATATTTATATGATGAAATACCCATTTGTGTATTCTGATTTTTCAAGCTACCCTTCTGAGCTTGAAGTAGATATCTATCTCACCATTAATCACCAAGTTCTATTATGTTTCAGTATCAGAGTTCTGTCAATAACAAGACTAAAATCAATCTCTAGTACTAGTAACACACACTGTGGAAAGAGAACAGGTTATAATGGGGGGATACAATTGAAGCTAGACAAGGAGAGAACAAAACTTGCAGCTAGACATGCTATAATACCTTACAGATCGAATGATCATTGTATTGTGTGACCTACAGTGCTGGACAGGTATCAATGAAGAAGAAAGCTTTTAATCTAGCTAGCTAGTGGGTGTATATAATTTGGTTGAATCCATGGAAAGACAACAATCTGGTCACTTCCTTTTTGAGTGCCACATGAACAGCATGTGCAACAACATTGGCGTTTGTGCATGTCTGTGTTCTCCCTTGCGTGGACATGTCTCATGCAATTTGAGAAGATAAGGAAGAGACATGGACACCACCATTCTGATTTCATGGTTTTGGTTCATCAAGGTGGCCACAAAAGCTACCACAGAAACAGAGAGAGAGAGAGAGAGAGAAAGAGAGAGATGAAAAATTCTAAGGTACATTGTAAGAGGATGTTAAGGAACACGGTAGCTAGCTAGCCTAACTTTTGTGGTAGTCACTAGGAGCCCACTTCAAGTCAGGGGACTAGATAAATCTAACCCCAAAGTACCAAAAGAAACTATACTACTTTTAAGGGAAATTACCAAAAATCCAATAAAAAGTATAAGTGTACCCATTCCACATTGGTTGTAGTAAATGACAAAAGTACCCCCTGCATGTGGTCCCAAAGGAGTCCTTATCTTCTCACATATATGCCAATGGTTTAGCAATCGGGGTTGCTCTTTGTTGATAGAGAAGTCCAATATACTCCAGGGCCCTAACTATCACTGTTAGCAGACAAGTTTCACCAATTGCAAAAGGGCAAGGAGGAAAGGGCAATCCAGTCATTTTCTGCAAGTGAAGGGAGGTGTTGTCCTCTTGTGAAGAGAGAAATAGAAGCAAGTATGTCCAAGGAGGATGACATAGATGTTTTTCTACTTGAAGACAAGACAGAAGCACATGGAGAGAGAGAGAGGGAGCCCTCTCTAATGGAAAGATTTAGAGTCCTTGAGTTGAGAGGTTGAGAATTGAGATGCCCTACACCTTTCACATATGTATTGTTCTATGGAGGACAAGATGGTCCTTTCCTTTTATTTAGCATTATTTTTTGGGTTCTCTTTTCCAACACACACTTTTCATATCTTGTCTTGACACTCTCCTAAACACCAAACCCTCCAAAATCCAAAGGCACCACCCCTCAATCACCTTTGTCGCCATCTTCACCACCATCCCTCTATATATATTCAACATAGTTCACAATTCCCCTCATATTATCTACTACTATAGTACTTCCACTGCTTCCACTACTAACTTAGGTAGTATTTCCGACTGCAGTTTTTTTTTTTTTTTTCATCCTTTCGTTACAAACGCCCTCTCATCTCTCTCTCTCTTGGATCCCCAATTCTGTACTTAAGTTCACTATGACTTCAAGACTTTCAGAGGCCTTCAGAGCCCACCCTGTCCACCTCCATCATGGTGACCTAGACTTGGAATCAGTACGAGAGGTACCCGATTCACATGCTTGGCCACAACTGGATGACTACCCATCTGTGCACTCATCGTTTGATGTTGAGTCAGTGCCAGTAATCGACCTCTCGGACCCTAATGCAGTAAAGCTTGTGGGGCATGCATGCAAGACGTGGGGTGTCTTCCAGGTCACCAACCATGGCATCCCCATGCGTCTCCTAGAGGATGTCGAGTCCCACGGCCGGCGCCTTTTCGCTCTCCCTCCCCAGCAAAAGCTCAAGGCTGCACGCTTGCCAGATGGCATCTCTGGCTATGGCCTGGCTCGAATCTCCTCCTTCTTCCCCAAGCTCATGTGGTCTGAAGGCTTCACCATTGTTGGCTCCCCCATCGAACACGCCCGCCAACTTTGGCCACAAGATCATACCAGATTCTGGTATTATACCTACGTGCATGAATACAATTTGTTTTGATTTCATGGTTGTTATCTCTCTAATTAAAAGTTAACAGTTAAAACCATTCCATTTTCTGATATCTGGGTGCGGGTGTGTCTTCAATCTTTCATGGGCGCAGTGATGTAATGGAAGAATACGGCAAGTGTATGAAGCAGTTGGCCAGGAAGCTATTCTGGCTGATGCTTGGTTCGCTGGGTATAAACAAAGATGACATCAATTGGGCAAGCCCTCAAGGAGGCGAATCTGGAGCTATGTGTGCAGCCTTACAACTGAACTCGTATCCAGCATGCCCCGACCCGACCCGTGCCATGGGCCTTGCTGCTCACACAGATTCCACCCTGCTGACAGTCCTTTACCAGAACAGCACAAGCGGTTTACAGGTGCTGAGAGATGGAGCTGGGTGGGTGACTGTACCTCCCCTTCCGGGTGCACTAGTGGTCAATGTTGGCGACCTCCTCCACATACTCTCCAATGGCATATTCCCAAGTGTTCTTCATCGGGCAGTTGTTAACCGGACCCGTCATCGCCTGTCCGTGGCCTACCTCTATGGACCGCCGACGAACGCTCAAATATCACCCCTCTCAAGCCTAGTCGACCCCAACCATCCTCCGCTGTATCGGCCAGTGACATGGGCCGAGTACCTCGGGACCAAGGCAAAGCATTTCAACAAGGCACTATCATCAGTTCGCCTCTGCAGTCCCCTAAATGGGTTTGTCGACCTGAATGATCACAACAGGGTAGAAGTCAGCTAGCTAGCTGCCTGCATTGCAAAGCAGAGAGAGCAGGGTCAGCTTCATCAGCATGATTATGGATTATTATTGAGCTTTTTTTTTTTAATTGGATACCCATGTTCTAGGGATTCTGGTTGCTTGGACGGTTGTGGGTAATAAAAAGAGAATTGGGTTAGTTCCCATGAGAGGGGCCCAAGGGGATAAGTTATATCAAATCATGCAAAGGAATGCACAACAAACAGTCTCTGTTTTTTCATTGTCTGTGTGTATAGAAAAGATAGGGAAAGATGCTCACTTGAATATTCAAACAGGGGGCACAAACCGGCACCTTTTTGCCACGGATGTGAAGGAAGATATTGCTTGAATGAATAAGACAATCATCAAGATAAAATTGCACTGGTTAAATAAATCATGAGATGAAGCCCCCCTATTGAATTTTTTTTAAAAAAAAAAGAAGAAGAAGAAGAAGAAGAAAGGCTAGATAAAGATTTTTCACATAAGATAAAATGATAAAAGGAAGAAAGTGAGTCTGAGAGGGCCCTGTTTGTCATTTTCGACACCACTAGATCCCTCTCTTGTTGTGGGGGGGTTTTGGCCTCATCGCAAAGACAGGAGTCTCAGTCCTTTCGATGCTCGGCATGGCTTTCTGTGTTGACGATGTTATTGTCTGCGCCCACACACTGGCTGGCCAGCCGGAGAGCTTTACCCTCTCCTAGGAACAAAGCAGGTTTTACCGTTTTAATATGATTTTGCACCTATCTTACCCATCTGGGTTGTGGTAGGTACGCTATGGTCAAAGAAACCAATGACCCAAAACTCCTCCTCCATGTCCCCCAACCCAGAATTTTTGCACCGGAGACAGGAAGACATCACCATGTAGAAAATGGAAATAGATGCTGAAACAGAACTGCCCATCTAGCTATCCCAAATATCAGATAACAACTCCTAGAAAGGAATTAATGCATTTAACTAGACCTGCAATCCTAGCTGAGTTCTAGCTGTGGTAGTGTACTCTTACAATAAAGGCACAACTCTCAAGAGCTTTGTGCAGTTTGAAATGTAAACCAACAGAGAAAAGAAAAGGACATGATTTTATCTTAATTAGCTAACTGCATACTCAACAGTCAACATTGATAAAATGGATATGCTTGAATGTCTCCATACCCACTATCGTACTACTTCTACAGGGAGACTTGGCTACGGAATATGTGTCATTTCCACTGCAATATTCCTCCTGGAAACTGCCAAACTCTAATAGGGAGTTCAAATATACAATGAATAAAAGACCACCTTTTTTTGAGACCAACTGGAATAGGAGATGACTGTTGTCAAGGTAAAGGACTCGTTACTGCATGTAAAAGATTTCACTCTTTGAAGTAACCGTAGACAAGCATGCTAGGAATTGGCTGGTTAGCATGTAGAGACCTGTCTTGAACAGTTGAAATTAGATCAATGATATAAAAAAATATATATATTAAATACCTTGATTTCACTCTTTGAATTCCGTTCCAATACCATAAACATGTTATGAAGACTTAAGATTCAAGTCCAATCCAAACATTTGCATATCACACTGAATGAAGTTTAACTCTAACCTCATTTAAAATAAAAGCACTTCAAGATTTGCGAACCTTTCCAAACTTATTGGGAAGTCTTACCATCATTTTGCTATACAGGTTTCCCTTTAGAAAAATGCAGAAATAAGTGGTATGGAAAAGAAATCAACACCGATTATTCTTCTAATAAACCAAAGTACCTCATTAGAAGACAGAATCCAATTAGATTTTTTTTCAAAGGGGATTAAAAAAATACAATATGTATAACTGAAATGCTACCTAATTCTCAAAGTTTAATTAAGTTTACATATGCAAACGAATTTAGGCTTAGACAATGGGAAGGCTCGGAGGATTAATATCTTCACTTTGAACAACCAAAATGGAATTATCACTACCGAAGATGTTCACTTTCCACCTCCCCCCCCACAAAAAAAAAAAAAGAAAAAAAAAGAAATTTCATTTACTACTATAAAAAAAAAGCAAATGACTTGATTGTTGTTGTTAGAAAGGAAACCTTGTAAAATTTGTACTAAAGCATCTTCTTTAATACATTTTAGTATCAAAGACCTTATCTAAGACTTGTTTGCTAAATAAAATGCTTATCTATAGTGGCATCCAAGCATAAAATAATCTTCATAAAATTTGCTTAAACTTTTGAAAACAGAAGTGAATACAAAATACTAGAAATTTCCATGGAGAATTAGTACGGCCTGAAAATGTTTAGATGATTGACTTACCTTTCCTAATACTGTGGGAACATCAGAAATGAATTGTGTGCATCTGAACATAACCCATATCAATCCATCAAGCCCACAAGTAAACTGAAAGAGGCTTGAAAAATTATATAAAGAAAATGTGTTTCAATGAATTCTTATTTTCTTGCTCTTGGTAGAGAAGTTGCTACCTGGAAATCTTTTAAAAGGGAAAATAATGCCTTTGCTTGCTACTATCTGAAGCATATTTCGTGTTGAGGGGTTTGAATTTTTTGACATTTTTACCGATTAAAAAACAAAAAAAAAAGCCTGAAATACACCTTGAATAACTACATTCTCAAATAGTAACAGTAAAAAACAAGTATATATACATTCTTAAATAACTCAACACCATGGATAAATTTTAATAATAGAAATCAAAGAAGTGCAAAGTCTCTACCATGTTGAGTTACAACTAATCACAACTTATGGAAAATAGAAATAATAACCGATGTTTTAAAGCGCAAAGGCATGATGCGAGGCGTTCCACTACCTGGAGGCATGAGGCATAGTTCAGAACGTAAGAGGTGTAAGCCTCCTGAACACAAGGAGGCGTAAGCCTACTTAAGAGGAGGGGTGATAAGGAGGAGGAAGGAGGATCTCATTTTTCCTTATTTTTAATAAAAATCTTTTATATTAAGAAGGATGGAGATGCATAGCACTGGTTAAAAGGGGGGCCTTGTCCGGAGGTGAGCAAGCCGGCATAGGACTTAGCCCTCGGCCCACTTTCTTTCCCCTTATCTTTTCTTTCCTTCCCTTTCCTTTTATTTTCTTTCTTTTTCTCTTTTATTTTCTTCTCTTTCTTTCTTTTTCTTTCCCTTCCCTTTCTTTTCTTTTCCTTTCCTTTCCTTTTTTTTCTTTTTTCTTTCTTTTTTGTTTTTTTCTATCTTTTTACATAAGGTGTACATGAGGCGCATGAGGCGTACGCCTTTAGCACGCCTCATGAAAAAAGCATATGAGGCGTACACCTCTTGCACCTGAGGCATACGCCTCAAAGGTGTCGGCACCTCTGGCATATGCCTCAGGGCGTTTTGGGGGCACCTTGCCTAGAGGYGTGCCTCCAAGCGTACACCTCCCATGCCTTTTAAAACACTAATAATAACATAATAATAGAGAATAATTCAGCAAACTATGCAGATATAAGAGGGATTGCAATTTCAATTCCCTTCCTCAATCTATCTTAGATGGCTAATGGGTAAGTGTCAAGAAATCACATTAGACCCAGGTGTGTAGTATCAGTAGTCCATTGTCAAAACATAAGCTGCTACCCTTGTAATAATCCTGCAATGTTTTTGCTCAAGGATTTAATTATTATTATCATGTACTTGATCCCCATTCATCAATACTGATGTTTGCTTAATATTTCTACCCACTGCACATGGAACAAATGCAAGGAGTGGGGAAACCCCTATGTTTTTGGAAAATATGATGTTCAGAATTTGAGTCTTTATATTTTTAGGCTGAAGTTTATTTTTGTTTGTTTACTTTTAGTAGGATTAGTTATAGGTATTTAGAGTTGTTTTATGATGAGTCCAGATCAGATTGCCTCTATGGGTTATATATGGGTTTACCTCAGTTTTAATGCACTTAGGACTCTATTCTAGACAGTTTTTTAGTCTAAATTAGAGCAGAAGGGAGATCTGAGTCCTTGTCTTGAGTCTATAAATAGTCTGTTATTGAAATTTTAGTTTAAAGTTTGTGAAACTTGTGCCAAGGATTGGTGCTTTGGGAGGTTTTCACTATTTTCTCTAAAGGTGCAATGTTTCTTCTCTTTCTCTTCTCTAGTCCCTTTTGTTTCCAAATCTGAAACTCTTTTATTTCCTCTCTTTTTCTATTATATCAGATTTGAGTTGTTTCTTAACCACCACATTTACCCTAATAGGACTTCTTTCCATCCTACATCAATTTGTCTCTTTTATTTTTCTGGTTATTATTTGCAGCTTATTTGCTTTGTTCTCTATGGTTTGACATATTTGACATCTTTGGGTGCAGGTATCAGAATATGGCTATATTTCTAGGAGTTAATGGATTCATCATACACTAAGCAATCAACAAATAATTCAAAATTAAAAAAAAAAAAAACAGTTAGATAGCTCTATTTTAATAATAAAGATCCCTTCCATCATTGATATCCAATCAAATATCAACAATAGGGGAATATATTAACAAACTTGCAACAGTTCAAAGCTCATAATGTACTAATGTGCTCAAAATTTATAGTACATGATATGCTAAAGTTAGTTGGTCTGAGGGGCATTGTGTAATTTGAGTTAAACTTCTAACATGGTATTTTGCAACAATACCAACTAATGGTTTGTTTTGGTGCTTGTTCACATAGTGAAACATAATCAATCCATCAAAACTAAGAACAAGAAAGGGTGCACATTTGGTAATCAAATGCACAAATATTCCAAAAACCCATCTCATGTAGTGTGAACAGGGGCACTTTGGTGTAAACTAGCCATCTGATGGGCCCAGCCAAGGATATCAATCAATGGCTGTAAACATTAAAAATTGTCTGCAAAGCTAAAGATCAGGCCATTGGTATAATCTGAATATCTTCATTCCAACCGCAGGAAATCCTACCAAGCCTATAAAATGGTAGCCAAGCCCTTGAAAAAAGTTGTCACCTGCAGCTAAGGAGATCATCTGATTGTTTAAACTATCCAGTGTGTGTATAACTGCATACATATACATATGTACATACATACATACATACATACATATAATAGGTCATGGGTATTGATACTTGCACCATACCAAAGAGTGTGTGCATATCTTCACTGTGATAAGATCAATACAGAGAGTTCAAAGTTAACTCATGATTACCCAGGCATGACCACATGAACTCTTTACTAGAGTTAAAAAAGTTTTCAACTTTCAAAAAAGACTAAACTACACATCAAGTAATGGAATAACTTTATTAAGGAAAATATAAATCCATGAAC